GCTGATTTGGGAAAATTAGTTTTGTTTCTCTGACCCCTGGGCAATAATTTAGACCCTTTTAAGAAATTACATTGGTCTTTTCGGGTAAATAGGATGTCATTAAGTAAGTTGCTCTTTTAGTCACACACAACGCCACTTTAGTCAGTGCCGTTCCTAAAGACCAGTTTGACAGGCGCTCCATAAATGTGGTTCTGAGAGATCCTATGTTGAGTGTCAGCCTTTTTATGACGATGCCATGCTCTCTTATAAATGTCTGAAAATGGCCCATGGGAATGCTAACTAGAACAACAAGGAAAGGTTTATAACACTAAGCCCTCCAATACAAACATTTCATCTCTTGCAAATTATTATAGGTCCATTGACAAGGGGAAAAATTTACTGAGCTCAAAACAAATCAGGCAGTATTTAACCGTATAAAAAATTAAAATGGAAAACATGTCAGAAAGCTTTGGGATCACTTAAGTTATCAAGCTAACTGTCTTAAAAGTGTATATATAGGACTCGTGAAAATATTGTATACCATGAAATTCTTGGTAAGCTCATTTATGTTTCTTGTGTAATCATCTGTAAAGCAGATGGAATAAACTTATTAAAACCTTACCTGTTTTTTTTTCATGTTCAGACTACGTCAAAGTTTTTTTTAGTCTTTTTCTTATCCCTGCGGTTAATGTGCTCCCACTATGAAGGACAATGGAAACGGCGCCATGTAGACATGTATAAGACAACTGTTCTTCAGGAGACCATAAAACAGCGCTAACTCCTCATTCTTTTCTGTCTGTTTTGGCACATTCAAAATCATTTAGTGAAAAATATTAGTCTAAAAGATTAGCATTTTATATGGAAAATAACACATTAAATGATGCATGTTTCACTTAAAAAAAACTAATCTGGATTGCATACACACTCTACCCCAATATCTTCTTTTAAAATCTATTCCTTTCTGCTGTCCATTCTGCTAGAGTCCTTCATCTCTTTTATTTTAGGGCAGGGACTGGCAAACTTTTCCTATAAAAAAACAGATATGAACTACTTTAGGTTTTACAGGCCATACGGTCTTTGAAATAACTACACAATTATGCTGTTAGGCAAAGTCAGCTACAGACAATACACAAACACATGAATACAGCTATGTTCCAATAAAACTTTATTTGTAGACTCTGAAATTTGAATTTTATATCATTCCCACATATCATGAATATTATTTTTATTTTGAAATTTCCCAAGTATTTAAAATATGAAAACCATTCTTGTCTTTGGGTCATTCAGAAATAGGCAATCAGGCCAGATTTGGCCTGTGGGCCATATGTAGTACAACAACTCCTGGTCTACTGGCAGTACTACTTCTTCAAGGGCTAGATATCCTTAACTCAATCACCATCCAAAGGAAAATTCTGTTTAGAAAGTTTTCCATATGACACCCCAAAAAGTTTAGGGATCATCAATATGTCCATGACTTCCCATTGCACATCTGAAAGGTTATTTGGCATTATTAGCTGGTCCATTGGAAATGATTTTAAGATTTTCCAGTGACTTTTTCACATTTCATCAAGAAAAAGTATATATAAAATAATGTATAGGGGTTAGAGGATGAAATTTGAATGGAAGAAGCAGGGGTTTTGTTCCCAGTTTAGGGATTCAATTATTTGATTAGATATAAATAACTTGATCACTTCAGATTTCATTCACCAAGTGTTGTTACTGAACAGTTATATTAAGTGTTAAAGGACATGAAGGGGAAATCTGTGCTTGTATCTTCCAGAGTAGCCACATTTTCAGAAAAAAATTGTATGTTCTTTTTTTATGCCATAACATACAACAAAAAAGGTAAATAGTTCTGAACAGGAATCTAATGGTTAATTTGTTCCAAATACTTTGGAGTTGAAGAAAATCTAAACCTGAGTGAGATCATGCAAACTATAGCACAAAATACACAGATGTGAAATTTCAGGGGTTTTATATGTGCCTACTATTACCAGGAGAGGTTTGGTTTAGGGGTCCGTAAAAATGTTTTCTTCCTTTAAGTATAATTCTTTGAGCCAAGACATCATCGGTTCCAAGCTCAGTGAGTTCCAGTTGAAAGTGTGAATGTTCAGCAAAAGAGTATTTTTAAAGGGGACTGAAATTCTGCTGTGCCAGATACCTGAAATGTTGTTAGGGTATTCGGTGGAAAATTTCATTTCCACATTATAAATAACTGTAGGATATTTTAAGGGATCCAAGACTAGTAACTTCCAAGAGCTGCTTATATTAGTTCCACTGAAATGTGAAATGGAGGGAGGATGACCAAGGAAACCTTTAAAACTGAATTACCAGATATGATTAATTAAAATAAATAATTCACCATTGATTAAATTGCCCTTAAAATCCCCAGCCAAGGTACTCCCATTGAGACCTGCATATTTTGCTATCCACCAAGTAAAACAAAGAAGAGGGAGCAAAGCGATTGAGAAAGAAAGAGGTAAAGCCCCCTAGGCAATTACTGAAATTAAAAATACCCTTGAATATCTCATTCAAAAAAGCCTCTTCTGGTCGCCCATATTTGAAGTATTGACTATTACTTAGCATCTTCAAGTTATCTGGGAGTTCCCTGTTTTGTGGACTTCCTAGGATGATGATAAGGAGAACCCCAGATATACTGGCATATAACCTACCATGGTAGTTACTGAATTTCTATCTCCCTTTGAGCACAGAAATAATTCACTTTCTGTAACTTCTCCCTTCCTTTGCAGCCACCATACATTTAAAAACAAAACAGAACAAGTCAGAGATCTATGTTAGACAGTGTATACTGTGTACCCAAAACAAAGTGCCCACCTAAAAGGAAAAAAAATTCCATGTACGTGCGTTGTGTATGTGTAAATGTGTATTTAAGAGTGTCAGTGTGTGGATGTTGTAAAGTGTGTGTCTGAGTGCCTGTGAGTAAGTGTAAGGTAGGCGAGTAATGGATGCCGTCTTATCTTTATTACTGTTTTTGAGGGGTAAGCCTGACTTCCCTTCACAGGTCGGCAGCCTGCGGCTGGGGGAGACTCTGCCCTGGTGCGCTCAGAAGGCGCATCGGTGCCCGGGGTTAGAGCTCTCCCCTGCGACGGAAAAGATAATTAAAAATCGCACGCGCAGCAGACGACCAAGTTCCTCGCTGCGCGTCAAGTTCGTCTGGATAAGTTTGTTCTCACACCGCGGCGGCTGCCAGGCCGAAAGGCCAGTAGTCCGGGAGCGAGGAGTAGCTTGCGGGTGGGGTGTCTTAGTAGCTGGTGCACAATGTTTCTGCACGCCAACAAGGGTGGCAGGCGGCCTTGGGAAGGCCGAGAAGGCTGGAGAGTCTAGGCGAACAGGCTCGCGTCTGTTGGGGGTTTGGGGGGTGAGGCGGGAACGTGGAGAAAAAAGTGGGAAAGTGGAAGATGGATGAGGGAGGCTTGGAGTTGTGAATGGAGAAAAGGAATGTCAAAATAAATCCCCAAAGAGGAAGGACAGAGCAATGTCTCCTGAACCCCATCCTTACCGCTCTCGAGGGTGCGCGCCTAGCTACCCGCCTCCCTTCTATTACTCCGGCAGTTGAAAGCCCCTCTATCTCGGGTGCGTATCTTTATTGAGGGCAATCCTGGTCTCCAAGTCACTCAACTAAATACAGCCCATCAAGTTCATCTTGCGCTTGAAATGGGCTCCAGAATCCGTGAGTGACACCAGGTCCCCTTTTCTGTGTCCCACCCCTACCCCAACACACACTGTCGAAGCTCTTCCAGACCCATTCAAAGGCGAAGACCCCAGCGCCGGCTCAGAGAGTGGACTCAGTGCTCTAACAACGGAGAGGCAGGAGGGTCGTGGCGGGTCGTTACTAGGGTGAGAGAGGCGTTTGCGCTGAGCAATAAAAACGCCAATTAATGGGCACGTCAATTGTTTTTAAAAGAGATAAGGGGAGATCAATGATGACTCAACTACCTTCCTTCTTAATGCTTCGAGGTGGAGGCATTCTAATTTTTCACTTATTTATAAATCACTTATTCCTGTGTCAGCTACTCTATTAGGAATCTTTGAAACTTTGACAACTGATAGTTCTTTTTGCAAATACATTTTCAAGCTTTGGAAGGCTTGAAGGAGTTTGACAGTAAGCAAGGAACGTAGCAGTACACAACATGGAGGGAACCGGCGCGGTGCCCCCTTCTTAGGGGCGCAATAGCCTCAAGCGGATTTCCCGGCTTCTGCGGGCGCCGCACATTGTTTTATTTGTTTTGAAGGCTCAGAGTCTGAGGCTGGTCAGAGACACCCACGTGCTTCTGACTCTCATCAGCGTAATGATCGCCTCAGCCAGAGTCGTGTCTATATAAACCACAAAAACCTAATCATTAGAAATCCCAGCCTCCAAAAACCACATTTTAGGTAAAACTGCCGCTTTTTTTCCGCGCTCCTTCATCCTCTCGACCACAACTTTTTGGGGGATCCAAAATCGCTTTTTAAACCCACATTGGGAAATAAATACACAAATAAATAGCCATTGAAACATTTTGAATATTTTATTTTGTATTTTTACTTTTTTCTCAGGAATGATGGGAAAGAAAGTTAAGACATTAGACGTAGTTTTAGATGCAGAATAGACTTAATAAAATATTTAAATAGATAGAAAATTGCTGGAATTTCTCTCCAGCAAGGGTTTTTGCAATTTATTTTAATCACCAAGATGACAGTTTTCCAGTCCTTAAAACAACTCAACCTTGTTCTCTAGGAACAACAAGTTTGAATATAGAAAGGAAAAAAAAAATGTCCAGTCACCCTCTTGAGTTTCTAAAAACTATTTTGACGCGTGACCCCCTCCCCATTTTTCGTGTCACTTAAGACAAAAAAACATATCCAAACCCTGCAAAATCTCCCCCCCCCCCACCGCTGTGGCAGAGGTGGGGGGTGGGGTGGGGGAAGGGTGAAGAGAGCGGAGAAGTCAGCACAGACGCTCAAGAATTTTCCTTCCTCCTCTCCTGAAGTTACAACGAAAAATACCGACAGCCAGATCAGCCGGCAGCTCTCTGGCGTCTCCGCTTCAGCCTCGTCCGACCTAGAGGGGGTTCCTTGCCCTGGGCGGGGGGAGGCGTGGAGAAGTGAGAAGACGAGACCAGGCTAGGTCCCCTTAGACCAGGGCCGCCTCTCTCGGCTTCGGAAGCTGCGCGCGGCGTCCAGGGGGCTCCTTCTCCCGGCCGGCGGGCGGCGGCAGCGGCTGCGATTCGAATGCTCAAGATCCGTTGCCCCGAAATCCGCTGCCTGAGACTTACCTCCTGGCACCTCGAACCGCGAGGGTCAGGGGAGCTTTGCAAATAGCAGGAGGGAGTGGATGCAAGGAGGTGGCGGTGAGAGGGGGAGAAGAGGAGAAGGGAAAGGAAGGAGCGGAACCGGGGAGCCGGGCTGGCAGCCGCCGCGGGAGGAATCTGAGCGCGCAGCCGGCGCGGGGGGAGCGGCGGCCGCGAGGAGGCGGCGGTAGCAGCCCTAGCCGGCGGGCGGCGGCGCGGACGCCTGCAGCTGGGTAGCAGCGCGCGGGGCGGCGCGGCGGTGGCGGGCTGCGCGCAGCTACGCCGGCCCCGAGGCTGGACTAAACGCACTCGCCTCCACCGCCGGACTCGAACTGGGAGGGGGCGCCAGCGCACCCAGGACGCGGTGCCCCAAGGGACCCCACTCTAAGCTGCAAACTGAAGCCACCCCCCGCCTCCCCGGGCCAAACACATCCCTGCACCCGTTCGCAGCTGCCACCCCGAGTGTTCCAAAGGCTCCTGCAAAGATCTGCGCCTCCCGGGTCTCCCCAACCGCCAACCCGACCTCTCCAAGTCACCACCGCTGTCCCCCGTCAGACTCCGCCTGGCAGTCGACTTCATCGAACTTGATTTCTCACCTCCTCAGTCCCATCACCTCCATCCCCTCTCCCCCGTCTCGCCTCCACCCCCCCTAGTTTCCTCCTCCTCGCCCCTCATTTCCACCCTCCTCCCCCTCCCCCGGCCACTTCGCTAACTTGTGGCTGTTGTGATGCGTATTCCCGTAGATCCGAGCACCAGCCGGCGCTTCAGCCCCCCCTCCAGCAGCCTGCAGCCCGGCAAGATGAGCGACGTGAGCCCGGTGGTGGCTGCGCAGCAGCAGCAGCAGCAGCAGCAACAGCAGCAGCAACAGCAGCAGCAGCAGCAGCAAGAGGCAGCGGCGGCGGCGGCGGCAGCGGCGGCAGCAGCGGCTGCGGTGCCCCGGTTGCGGCCGCCGCACGACAACCGCACCATGGTGGAGATCATAGCTGACCACCCGGCCGAGCTAGTCCGTACTGACAGCCCCAACTTCCTGTGCTCCGTGCTGCCCTCGCACTGGCGTTGCAACAAGACCTTACCCGTGGCCTTCAAGGTAAGAAGCTGCGGCCACCCCCCCCGCCTCCGGCCGGGCTACTGGGGACCTGCCCGCCGGCGTCTCCTTGACCGCGGGGGCCGGGGCCCCACGACGTTCCAGGCCTCCGGTATACCTTAGAGGCTCTGACTCGAGGGACCCCTGGATGGCCCTCTTCCTCCAGATTTCCCAGCGGGCTTGGGAGCAGTGACCCCACGCGGATCCCTCCTTCTCCCACCTGTGCCCGCAGCCAACACGCCAGCCCTCGTCCTCCCTGTCCGTTCATCACCCCTCAAGTCTCCCCACCAAAGTTCTAACCCACTCCTCGAAGCTGTCTCCCCTCCCCCCGAGCCTCCAGGTGTCCACTCTGCATCGCCTCCCCCGCCTCCCCCCCCCCACCCCGGGTGTGAAGATCCCCGGCATTTCCCCCCCTGACTCCCGCGTCCTCCTCCCCGGGCACGCCAGCCGGTCCCGCACTGCGGGGTGCCCGCGCGGGCCCTCCCCAGGATTCCTGGCGCCCCTTCCCACTCCCCTCCTGGCCGATGGCCCCTCCGCTCGTCTGGGTGCCCCCAACTCTGACCCGCGTGAGCCTCAGCGGCCCCGGCCTATCTCGGGTTTGGGTACCGGTGTTCCTGAGGTGACGGCGCCGGGAGTTAGCGCCTGGGGCGGGGCGCCGGCTGTGGCGCGTGGGCCGCAAGACCGGTGCCCAAGGGGGTCGCAGGCAAACCTCGGGACTCGGGGAGAGTGTGAGGGGCACAGAAAGGACAGGGGTATTTGCTCGGCTCCAAGGCTCGCGGCAGTTCCCGTTACCGGGAGGAAGGCGGGGCCGCTGGGGTCGTCGCGCGCCCGGAGGCGGGGGAGCCGGGAATCGCGGGCGCAGACCCTCGAGTGCGGGAGGCGCGGGCCGGCTGAGGGGGCGGGGGCTCGTGCCGCTCCTTCCCGCCGGGACGGAGCTCCCCGCCTCTCCCAGCCTGGCGGGCCGGAGGGGAAATCTGCGAAATGCCTTCAGTTCGCTGGCCTTGAAATGTGAGGTGAAATTTTGCGGATTTGTCTTGTTATTACTTCTAAAGGACTTGGTTCCCAAAGGTCCCTCCCGTCGCTACCAGGTCGTGGGAGGCTGTGGCCGGCGGCCTGGGTGCGGAGGCAGTGACTCCGGGGTTTGGGAGCGACCTCCGCGGCCTCCTCAGCCCGCCGGGCCCGTTAGTTGAGGGCGGGTGTCCGCAGCGGGCGTCCCCGGTAGCGACTCCGCGGGTCGAGGGTGCAGGGTCCTCGGCCTGTGGCATTGCCCGGTGGGCGTCCATAATTGCGGCGGCAGCCCTCGCCAGGGGCAGAGACGGAAACCCCCATGGCCGAGCTGGGTGGATGGGAAGCGGGTTCCCGGGCAGTCCTCTCTCCCGGGACTAGACGCCGGGATGGAGGGGGCGGTGAACCCGACGCGAGAAGCGACTCAGAAAGGCGCTTCCGGCCCTGTCTAGCCTAGGACCCCTGGGTTCTGGGATCTATGGAAAGCAGGGTAGCGAGGGTAACGGAGGAAAAGGAGGAATCGTGCCAGGTTCTCCACTGTGGCCCTGGGGCCAAGCTCCCATGGACCACTGGCAGCTCCTAGTAGTTGATCCCCCATCCCTCCCGGCCTCGTCCCCCTGCCAGGCTTCAGTTCAGATTCCGTGTGTAGGTGGGGTGGAAAGAAAGAGGAGTCCAGGTCAATTAGAGCTAGTTATCTTGCTAGGTTTTATATCAGAACAGAAATCAGAATAAATTGTTATGGAAAGAGGATGATGCATTCTGGGGCAAGTTTCATTTTGCACTTGGCTTAAGAAATGTATGTCTCCTTTAATAAACTACCCATTTTGTAGGTTATTTTCGTCTTGAAATATGAAAAGCTCAGAATATTGTAGAAATTTAAATTTCTGTACAAGAGGTATATTCTACAGTGTTCATCGTCCAAGGGCCCAGAATTTTCTAATTAGCTTTATTGTAAGAGTGGACATTTATTTCCACCCCACCCCCAAATCCCAAACACAAACAAAAAACCTGGATGAAAACAGCACATACAAATAAGTAGCTATTTTGTTTAAACATTGCCACAAGTCAGGTTATGTGAAAATTTAAGGAAAAGTGCCTACATTTTTAAAAATACCATTTAGATGTTTGATGGTCTGGATTCCGTTTGTTCTGCTAAACATATTTAAGGTAGAACTGTTTTGAAGTATTCTTTTACATTTATGGTGCCGAACTGATTTGGAGCATTAGTATTTTAGATAGAAAGGATGTTTTTGGCATATAGATAGAATGCAATTTAGCCTGACCTATTATCAGATTTTGGTTGTCTTCAGGTTTTTGCACCACCCTTTTAAAATCATTTTGAAAAGAAATGGCTTTCTTTGCTATTAATCATACTTATTGTCAGTTACAGAGTGATTTTACTTGTAACCAGCAAACAAAGCTATAATTAACACATGGCCATACTGAAGCAAATATTTGATTCACATTAATTGAAAAAGAAATTGAATTAACCTAAAACGTGAACTCTCAATGTTTTTCCACCCCCATACCTGTGTTTAACAAAACGCAAATAGCAGGCGATAGCTGAGATCCTCTGAATATAGAAGTTTTGTCTCTGCTGAAAAAGATGTGTAAATATTTGGAACATCCAGGCATAGGCAACAATTTTTTTTTCATCTGAATGTTATTAAACAACAAACTCTCTTTACCTTTCTTTTGGAATAAGAGCCTGAGAACAGTAAGGCTTTCTACCATTGCAACAAGGTCAAATAAATCTATAAGAAAGAAGTAATATGAAGAGGTCTCAGTTTTAAAAGTGGTGAGAACAATTTGGCTATGATAGTTAGAACCATGTACAAAGTAAATTGTAGTGTTATGGGTACATACAGACAGGTAAATATCTTTTAAAAACACAGAACTAAATTGTTGAGAAATCTGATATTCAAATCAATACAATATTTATTGAGCCTATATTTTACGTTTGTGATACTGAACTCACCATGTAGAGAATCAAATGGATTCAATGGACTGTGTTTTAATATTTTAAAGTAGTGCTTCAAAATGATATTGACAGTTGTATTAAGTTGTAAGTAATGTGTGCATCTGATCTTGTTTGGGGATTATACAAGAATACTTAACTTGTTTATACTCGGCTCTTAAAAATGCAGAAACAACCAGTATAGTTTAAAATATATAAAGTTGTTTATTAGCATTGTATTTATAACAAAGTACTGCAGTTTTGAAATGTTCTGTCCTCCCAGGTGTCAAGGAAATGGAAATAAATATTTTTAAACATTTCTTTCAGGTGTATTTCACTGAAAGCTTAAAATAGTGAAGGTATACTATTAGAGGATCCCCAGGCCTTTCTGTCCTTGAAATTCTAGTGACAAAAAAGCAATTTGCAAATCCTTCTCATTAGTTAATGGTCAAATAGAAATAGTGAGAGAGTATGTCAACGATGCATTCAGGAGCACCCTTATAATTAGGGGTCTGTCAGCATTGCTGCCATGAAGCCTGCTGTTCAGGGTTCATAGCTCAGTTGCTTTAAATACCTTCAAGCTGAAACACTATGCAGAAATTTTCAGCCCAGTTACATATCCAAAAGTATTGCAAGGCTATTGTGCTGTTTTCAGTTAGAGAACACTGGGCTATATATTTACCAGTGTCATATGTTTTTCTGGCATTGTTAAAGAAAACACATTTTTAGATATATGATCTATTACTCACAGTTAATTCTGTGTATTTAATGATAGCTTTCAGTATTTGTCATAAGTGGGGTTTCAAAATGATGGAGCAATTTCTATCTGAGAATAATTTTTTCAACATCATTAGCCCATTTTTGGAAACAAGTGTGCAACTAACAAATACTTGACATGAGTGAGTTGTATTTTCCTCACATATTTAATGATCAGATTTTATATTTGTGTCTTTTCAATGTAATTATATTTAAACGAAGACAGGTTATTAAACCTGTTAAAACCTTTTAAAGCCTACTATGAATTGTTATGCAAAATTATGTAAATAAATAGATTTCAAGTTGTGTTAAGATACACATTTTTGTGTTATGCCTTTAAATAAAATAAAGTTGAAAATGTTAGGATTGAATATATAAAACTTATTGGTAAGGCAATTGAAATAAAACTTTTAGATAGAAAACAAATATTTTAAAAATTTTAGAAAACATACATTTGAAAACAAGCATGATATTTTTCATTATTTTTGTCCTTTGTCATTGATGTTTGTATCCTTTCAAAAAATTTCAAGATATTTAAATGAGCTTGAAACATGGCACATAAATTCCTGGCTTAAATTGAAATACTTTCCACCAGTTTTCTCTTTGACATGTATTTTAGAAAGTATGAAATGATACTTTATATTGTATCTACTCTTTTCCTCTACAATTCAATTGGGTGTTCCTAAATTCTAGGTTAAACTTGAAAAAATAACTGTCATATTTGTGAAAGTTTTTGATAGCTTATTTAAAATTATCTTTAAGTAATTACCATAGGATTAACATTTTTCTTATTGCTATAACTTCCTTAAACCTGTCTTTGTATTCCCAAAAAAGATTTGATCAGATTCTATCTCAGAAAAGAATTGTATTTTAATTTTGCTGCAAGTACAATGTGCCAAATGATATTGGTCTATAAGAGTAATTGATTAGTTAAGACTAGCCTTCTACTCATGGAAATGTAATGGGCAATTTTTATTTCCGTATCATAAGACCCAGAAACAAAGGGTCTGAGTTAATTCTTCATTGCTTCTCTATCAGAGTAACTCACAGATTTAATCGTAAGGAATTTCATACAAAATCTCAGTAGCGTTTCTAGAGTTAAATATTTTTTATTTTGTACAAGCTTCATGTGATTTACATGCTGGTTGTAGTGAGGTGCGCTAAATAAAGGAACTTCTTTCTCAATTCTATAATAGAAGAACATAAAACTACTTCTCTCTTTCCTATGAAGTTTCTTGAACTTAAAGATTCTATGTTTTAAAAACATCTAGAAATGTAGTTGCTAAGGTTTCATCACAAATTATTTGCAGAACAACTTTTGTATTGGGTACTATGGAAACAAATTTTAATGTGTGCCTACTCCTAACTAGTTAAAGAGTGATTTTTGACTGCTCTCTCTTTCTGCCCCTTAGAATGTTTTCCATTGTTTGTGTTTTGTACAGATGAAATGTGTAAAAATTTCTTCATTCTTTTGGTTTTCTTTTATTTTTTACTGATTTTTTAGAGAGAGAGAAACATCTATTTGTTATTCCACTTATTTATGCATTCATTGGTTGATGCTTTAATTTTTTTTTTAAATTTTCATTTATTGACCTGAGAGAGAGAGAGAGAGAGAGAGAGAGAGAGAGAGAGAAACATGGATCTGCTGTTTCACCCATCCCTGCATTCACTGGTTGCTTCTTGTATGTGCCCTAACCAGGGACTAACCTGCAACGTTGGTGTTTCTTCTGGACAACTGTCTAACCAACTGAGATTGGTTAGGTGGCCAGGGCCATTGGTTGATTCTTGAGTTTGCCCTGACCAGGGGTGGAACCTGCAACCTTGGCCTGTACAGATGATGCTCTAACCAACTGAGCTTCCCTACCAAGGCCTCTTTTGGTTTTCTTTTAGATAAACAGTTAAGAATCTCCAAGGGAAACTTTTTAGCTTCAGATATCTACTTAAAAAAAACAACAACAACTCAACCATATAATTATGTTTCTAATTGATACAAAGTTAAAAACAGCATGCCCTTCCCCCAGTTTTCCCTCAGAAAATCATTAGGCAATGCGATTCGGTAGAACATAGAGCAGGGAAAAAATATATTTAGCCATTAAAATAGAGTTCAGCCATGGCAGGGAAAGTTGTCACTATATCGTTTTAGTTAGCTTTTTTTTTAAAGGCCAAGTTCTAAGCCTCATAGAAGACTCACTATTTGTGATCACTATTTGTTTTGTTATTAAATGTAATACATAAGACATAACCAGTATTTAATGTGGCCATTATTATGCTGCCTAAGCAAAGTAAAATGGATTTATGTATTTCACTCTTAGGGATCTTTTCTTTCATATTTTCCCATATTGAATCAATTTTCCTTTCTTCTAACTAAAAAAACCCCATTATGTTAAAAATATGCAGTAAAATAATAATGTCCCAGAGCTCTTGAAAATCTTCATATTGGGGCAGATTTCTTTACTTTTTTCTGAAATATAGCCAGACTGGACTAAAAGCCATCAGCAGTCATCCTTTGTCTTTCAACAACAAGAAACATCTCAGAACATGGAGTGAAGAATTCCATATTCAGTTGCATCCTTTAAGGATGTTCATAAATAAAAACCGGTGTTTACCAAATAGCAGACTTAGAACAGAGGTTAGCCTCCTCATCTTTCAAAAAGGACATCATTATAATTACACTCTATACTTACATAGTATCTTCTACATTTTACAGACTTTAAAATAATTATTTCCAGTTTATATTGGAAAACTGTAGTTCCTGGAGATGAAGTTACTTTATGACATCATAGCAAAGGTGGGAAAAAAGTGGAGCCTCTTGAATTTTGATGCATTTCTTCTCTTCTAAACAGTACAATTTTCTGCTTTTGTTCATACACTTGACTGGTTCCATATTTAGAAAGCCACACAGCAGGTGTTAAAACACAATATGCTGAGTGTAAAAAATGTTTAACATTGAGATGAATCCTGGCAAACATAGTCAATTATTTCAATATTTTCAAATGTTTGCATTTTTGGCATTGTGAATTTGGAAAATTGTAAAGCACACTGCTTCCATCAGTAGTACTGCATTACCTGTATAGTCAGCTGCCACGTGAGGCACTAGATCAGGTATGCAGGGAAGAAGTCGTGTTCTCAAGAGATTTACCCTTGACCTGGAAATCTTCTCAGATTGAGTGGAGTAACCAAATACTATGAATAAATGATAGTTGGCATGATTTCTTCTCTGGGATGGAAGAAGTTGTCAGAAAACTAGTTTGGAGCAAGGGCATATTGCTGCTAGTGAGGGATGCTGACTCAACCTTTAATTGGTGTTCTCAGAGTTTTATCTGGTAGCCTCACAACTGTTGGCTATGGGACTTGATGCTCTTCTGGAAGCTCTTTCACTTATTTATTTCAAAGGTATTTATTAAACACTTAGTCTGTACCAGGCACTGTTTGTGGGAGTTTGGTACATAGTGCTGAATGAGACAGATTAAGTCCCTTCCCTGTTGTAGTTTCCAATTTAATATAATCTGTACTCCTAGGAGTGAGTCTCACAGTTTTGGGCAAGTATATCAAAAGGAATAGATAAATTATTAATATATGCACATTGAAACGAGGACCACCTGAGTACAGTGCAATGGTGTAGAAGTAGGCTCTGTAATTTAAGGAAAGTTTTAGGATTTTAAACTGAATACCAAAGTGCTAAAGAAGGAATGGAATTGAAAAGCAGACTAGGAGAAAATTAAGGGTGAACATTATATTGACAAGTTCTTTTTCCTGGCTGGGGCAGAAGGTGTAGTAGAGGAGTGTCAGGCTAGGGTTCATGGGTGTGGGAAATTAAGCCCTAAAATAGTTATAGTGTTTGTTTTATCACAGTCTGAGAAATCTCCTTTGCTGAGTGCATGTACAAATTGTATTGGGAGCATGGAATAAAAAGCTTAGGTTTGCCCCCTGGGAATCTTGACAAAGGAGGGAGCAGAACTACAAGTAGGAGAAAGAAGAGTGGGATATTTGCCAGACAGGCCTGCACGTGTGGGCGTTAATGTCAGAGAGTAGTGGGGTACTCTAGCTGGAGTCATTGCTTAGTCATCATGAGGGCATCTGGAAGCTGAATAAGGAAGAGATGGAAATAATCTGAGTATATGATCCTGGAGGTTAGTTGAGAGAAAAGGCATTATCAAGGGGCAGGGTCTTGGGAATGGGTTAAGAGTATTGTGTTTTACATGTGACTCCAAAGGCTCTGCACCAGCATTTTCTTACCAGGCTCCATGTTAATGAGAGCCATCCATTTGCAAGTTAGCTGACTCTGGTTTAAAAAAAAGTGTGATCCTTAGCCTTGGAGCAGTGAAAATGTTTATTAGCCTCAAAGACTGATTATTCTGGTCCTTACTTGACTGAGTTAATCTGTCAAAGGTTAACTCTTGAAGGTTAAGGAGGCAAATGTGTCATTCTAAGATGGCAGATGGGACAAAGACAGAGTAGAAGTTTGGCCTAGGGTGTATTTTCTGTATATACCATTCATTTGTCAGGGATTATTACCAGCCTGTTATTTGTCTTTATTCTACCCCTAGACTTTAAGTTTCTTGATGGTTTTGTATATTCCACTGGGTCCTACTGAGGAATGGACATTTAGTAGTTATTTGCAGTATGATTAAATGCTGAATATCTAGCCCAAAGTAAGGATATGAAATGTAGTCCTGGATACCACACCATATTTAGGCTTCCATGTAGTTAGGAATTCCCAGGTTTCACCTAAATGTCATCTCCCGTAGAGCCAACTAGACTTTCTTTACCAGCCCGTGATTGGGAAGAGACCACACCTCTGGGTGCTGCAGGCTGCAGACAGGCAGTGCCTTAATATGTACGATGCAATCTGCAGATGAAGCATCAGCCTTCCTTCTCTGGCATAATTCCTATGGACAACCTAACATGGGGATTTAATAAAAAATGTACATGCATTCGGTGAAGAATGCAACAACAAATGAAGGAAACTTTTGCCTGCCTTTGAAATGGGTGGGTCCTGAAACACTGGTCTGTTTGAAGTGGCATCCTGACCCATATGCAGATGCTTCATTCCTGTCTGCTATTACTGGTCCAGAGCACTAAGTCCTGATAAGGAACAGTATTTACAGTGAAAATATATTCTTAGTTTTTAAGCTTTTCTGATGAGCCATTATTGCTGCTGTGTTTCCTGTTTTATGTAGGTGGTAGCCCTCGGAGAGGTACCAGATGGGACTGTGGTTACTGTCATGGCGGGTAATGATGAAAATTATTCTGCTGAGCTCCGAAATGCCTCTGCCGTTATGAAAAACCAAGTAGCAAGGTTCAACGATCTGAGATTTGTGGGCCGGAGTGGACGAGGTAGGTCTCTGATTTTTAATACTGGTAATGGAGTAAACACATTAGGGTGCTCTGATGACATGTAGGCTAGTCTGTATACAAGTCAGCACCCTCTTCTACTGAATAGAATTACTGAAGGTCTTATTTAAATATGTCCAGATGAAGCTGAGTGTTTTCCTGAATACTCAGGCCTTTTTCATTTGTTTTATGATATTGAATATTCAAACAATGTTTTCAGAACTCATTCCTACTTTCATTGGGTATGAACATATAAGGTGGAGAGCAGTACAGTTGGAGGCTCAAGTTATGAATTATGAGCAACCAGATAACAGAGTGAATTGAGGGACAAAGGAAAAAGAAAAAAGAATGCATTGGATCAGTTTCCTGATAATATCAGTTTCACTCTAAGTGGCCGCACGTTTGACTAGCATAATGCAGTTCACTTATCACATATGTTACCTCTGTATGAGTTAATTTATTCTTATAATAAAAAATCTGTTTAAAAATCATTTAGCATTTTTAATGAAGGTTTTTCATTTGAATAAGTGAATAATGTGTTAGTTATGTTAGAATGACTGTATAGAGTTGCCTACACAGATGAATGATCAGGACTTGAAATATTTCCACATTATTTAAGGGTTTCTACCATCTGAATTCATATTCAAATGTTAGGAATCCTTCAACAAGATTATAATATAGAAAATAATCCCGTTTAGGGTTTTCATAACTATTTTATAAATGGGCTTAATGTTTTTAAAAAAGTCTTTAAGGAAAGCAATTTTGGGGTTTATTTACTTATTCTATAGGGAGACTTTTAATAGTCATTCATTGGAAGTATTATGTTCATTTATTTATTTATTGAATCTAATATTTCTATTTTAAGTATTTCAATAATAAGAGAAAAAGTAGACCACTTTGGCATTGAGGTGGAATAAAGACCTATGGAATTACTCCAACCCAGGTTTGAATTAGGAAATGAGAAGCATCAATTTTTAAACCATGTTCAGTAATTGCTCTTTAGTTTGGATCAGATGTCAAATTATTACCATTGTAAAAAGTTGATAAGGGAAATTCAAGCAAGGCTGTTTCCGATGAGTAGTTTTAGTTTACTTTCTAGGAACAGGGCCAAGAAGTTGTACTTTTTAACTAAAAAAAAAAAAGATGCATGCTAATGAGATACTGTCACTGAAAGGTTGTTTAAAATAAAATGAGGCTCAGGCCTCTGGAAGAATCAAAACTGAAGGGGTTATCTCTGCATCAGGTTTGCTTTGCTTTCATTAAAAAAAGACACATCCTCTCTCACTGTTGACTGATTAGGTGTGAAGTGTGTATGAGTGTGTATTCATTTTTTTCAGTGATTGGTGCAAATTCATAGCACAATTAAAATTTCTCTTTCTAGGAAGAATCGAGAACAATTTGAACATAATGATTTACCTGTGTGCTCTGAATTACATCATTCTTCCTATGTAGTATTACTTTGTTTTAAATTAGAGTAATGAATTTTAGTATTTAAAAGATCGGGTGCTATATTTTACTTTACAGATTCAAGCTAGTGTTTTCATTTATCTTGCTTTTTGTATTATATAGATGCTGCATAACTTTTCTCTGATGAATTTGAGTAGAAACTATGGCAAAGTGATAGTGTACTTTGTAAACCCTCAACATATTTATTTAAGAAACTTCAAAGAGAAACAAAGGGTGTGCACTGTTTTACTATATTGGCTTTCTGAGTTTTGGCTGGTTTCCCAAATAGCAATTTTTATATTTAAAAAAAAAAAAGACAGACTTAACTGCTTGCAGACTTTTCACGCATGGAAGATGAAGAAAGCTTCTTTTGATGAAGTGTAATTATGTCCAAACAGAGCTGACCCCCTCCCCCTATATTTCTTATGATCTTAACTGAAGAAAGTAGGATTTTTCCTTTGAAGCAGCCGGGACTTGGTGGAGGATCTGAAATGCTACAGTCTGCTGCCAGAGGCAGGATGGAGAAATTGGTCCAGACTTGTCTTCGAGACTTAGATTGGGGGTGGGGGTAGCGGGCAGAGAGAGAAAGAAAAATTGATTTATCACTAATAATAGATTTTTATATCACTACATTAACATTATTTGAAAGGCAAAGAGTAATATCAAGCTGAAATGAAGAGTAAAAAAGGACAGAGAACACCGATAAGAAATATCACTCTTTGAAAAAAAAATAGGTCAGTTTTTCAGTGGCAGGAAACCCTTTAACCTGCTTGTGTACCTGACCTGCTTTCAAACAGACTCTTCTAGCTTCCTTGTTGATTTTCACACTTTGACGTTTCTCTTAAGTTGTTAAGTCTGGATCAACATGCTGCCACCACTGTATTTTTTTCCCAATTTTTAAATTTTCTGTTTTCAGTAGCATTTAAAAAATAACACCAAGTTCCTCTAATTATTAGTTTTTCTTTTCACTGGTAGAAATTTAAAGTCTCAGAAATTGAAGACCAGTTTTGGGTTTATCAAGAGTCACATCACTACGTACTTTGGCTTTACTGGCTATCTGATGGCCACGGCTTTTGGAAGTGCTTTGGAGTACAAGTAGAGTGTCAGTGCAGCTTGCATGAGGTTAGGAGTGGCTTCTGGATTTTAATTTTCTTTTCCTTTTTCAGCCTTTATATTTTATGCAGAAGAATTTAAAATGACTTTGGTTCCTAAGTTTCCTTGGTATCTTTCCTCACTTTTGACATCAAGCATGCTGCTTTTAATTTACAAGCATTTTTAAGCACCTACGGCATAGAGAGCATGGGACTTTGTCATTTAGGATATAATCTCTGCTTACAGTCTTAGCCCTCCTGACTGTCTCGACAGCCCCTCAGGTTAAGTTGGAATTGTCTTTTAATGGCAGTTCCTGTATTTATCTTAGAAAATATGTATCTTGAGGATATATGCACTACTAGTTCCTAGCTGAAACTATGGATGATACAATTACCTGACGAATGAGTGCTCGCTTTCTCACTGAGAGCCTGCATCTTTCAGTAGGAGTCTGAATTTTTATCATTTATGAAGAGTGATAAAAATGGGATTTGGAAAAAGTTTCTTTTTTTAGTCTAACAAAATCATAAATACTCACATAAACATTTGACTTAGGAAATGTGTTATTATTTATAAGGTGAAGAACCAATTACCTCTTTGGGTGGTAGTTTCTGGAGCATTACACGCATGTTCCTTCTGAAGGGGCAATAACAAGTGGAAAGAACCTCCTTGATTTTTGTTTTAGTTGTTATAGTATATTTGATCCTTAAGATTTGATTTTAGAAGACTGTACTTATAATTAAATACTTATTCTTCCCACCCCAACATTTACTTCTTTTAAAAGAAAGTCTTTCTTTATAGAAAACTGGTTCCACTTTGAACATTTAGATGATTTATATTTACAGGGTGAATTCTATACTTGGCTTTTGTTCCTACATGAGGTGTTCATCTGAATTTGGGATCAGTATCAATGACTTTTAATATCTTAAGAAAGTTACAAAAGTCTCCAGTACAACTAGTCTGAGGACTAGTTTGGACAAATTCACGGACAGTAGCTCTAGCGGTTTATTTACACACATTAAAAACAATTGGAATATATACATCCTTGATTTATTAAGATGAGCCTTGGATGACAGCTGCCTTCCAAGTACTGCCTTCCAAGCCACTGTTAGAAATGCAGTTCTGCCTTACCACCAATGATCCAACCCAGAACAGCATCTCTTTATGGTTTCATGTAAATTAACTTTCATCCTAGGGATTCAGCCTGGTGACTCCTCCAGACAGATCTTTCCATTGTTTTGAGGTCCTGACCTGGATCCAGTGGCTTCCTATTCAACTTTCTAATCTCTATCTTTGTGGACTTTAAGTTTGCTGTAACTAGCTTAGACTTCTGGCTGATTTATTCTTCTAGTTGGTTTTAATGTATATAATACATCCTGTTCTCTAATGAGATAATTAAACTGCTCACCTCCATGTAACATCCAGTATATAATGATGAACTATGATACATTAATGACACTTGAAGAATAGATGCTTTCATCATCCTGGCCAAGATACTATGTTAGTGGATTTATATTTACTGTTTCTTGGTCTTACAGAGTCTATTGGGACACATGTAGAAATAAATTGCCTATATTTTTTTAAGTGTTCTTTGGAAAAGCTAAAAAGAAGAGCATTCATTTGAAGGTCTGGGAGAACTGGGTTTAGATCCTGATTTTTTTTTTCACTTATTAGCTGTGTGGGTAAGTTACTAAGCCTCTCTGGGATTCAGTCTCTTCATATGTGAAATGGAGGTGATAAACTTAACTGAGTAGGATCAAATGAGACAGTGTGTATGAAGAGGCTGGCACTTAACAGATTTCTATTCAATATTCATCTCCCCCCTCCCTTGCATTCCTGTGTTTTCTTTCCTTCTTTTTTCTCCTCTTGGGCACAGAAAAGTATGGCCAAAGAGACTTAAAACTATATATACTGAGTAACAAATGATGTGTGTCTTAAACATATTTTAGTAACTTACATGGTCTGGGTTGAAAAGAAACCCATTCACTAGACTTGACAGTCAAAGACCTGTTCTACATTAAGCCTTGTATGTAACCTGTTCCATATTAAGCTTTGAAAAGATTGCATTAAACTTTGCATTGATACATATTGTTTAAGATTTGTATTTTGATTTAATGCCCTCAGCTTTCAGTAAAGGGAAAAATAGTCTCTGACCAAAAAACAAAGCAAAACAAAATGAGCTTTTTAAAGGCAGGCTAAATGAATACTCTGGCCTGAGATTGCTGAATGTTTTATTGAGTCACTGTTTCACGCCCACCTTTTCCTGTCTTGTAACAGTTTGCAGTTTTGACTATCTGACACGACTAACCGTTGCAAATCTAACTGATTACAACTGTCAGTGAGTCTGTGTAACAGAGGCTGGTATCTTCTTCTGGAGAAAGAAATCCTAATCTGCTACCAAACCTTTCCCTGCCCTCCCCCCATTCATCACTTTTAGCTCATTACTTAGAAACCTCAGATACAATATTTCCATGAGGCACACTCTGCTAAAAGCAAAAATTCATATTTATATTGGGAGATGTCCTGTACGTTTAGCAAAAAAATAAGTCATTGTCAGGGAGTTATTTCAAGATTTAACAGCAAGGAAGTATGTTAGGGAAGGGGTGGGCAGGGAGGAGAAAATCTTTGTTCCAGTAATGATGAAATCATCATACCACAGGCACATTAAGGCCAGGACAGGAGACACCGGCTCCTGTTAAAATGATTCCCATAAGAACCTTCCTCTTTCATCTTCTTATTGTAGTGCAGTTAAGCAAATGAAATGCTAAAGCCATGTGAAGTAAATAACATAATCAACAGTGATTTACTATTGTTCTCTCATGGGGTCATGACCTAATCCTAAATAAAGACTTCTAAAATTGTCTGTGTTTGGATGTGTTCCTGATGTTGGAGAAAACTGAAAGGCAGAGAACCCTCTTCAAGTGGACCAGGGTTTTTGCTTTCATTACAGCTATTGCTACTGAGCAGCTTTTTTTTTTTTTCCTTGGGTTTTTTTTCCCCCCCGAATTGGAATCCCTTTTACAGCACTGCAATGAAGAGGATGATCTTAACACTCGAAGAGTTTAGTAACTTCCTAAAGTGGCCATCAGAGGGATTCTACTTTAGATTAGGGAGTCCTGACTCTTAATCTTGCTGTTGTTTCATTACCTCCTCAGAGCGGCTCACATGAAGTTTGGACATCTCTGCTGTTATGTTGTCATCAATACTATCTGTTTATATTTACTATGGGTTTTCCTTTTTTACATCTGCAGGCAAGAGTTTCACCTTGACCATTACTGTCTTCACAAATCCTCCCCAAGTAGCCACCTATCACAGAGCTATTAAAGTTACAGTGGATGGACCCCGGGAACCCAGAAGTAAGTACTTGCCTTCCTGTTGGAGATGGTAATAGAGTTTATAGAGACCCTAGGAGGAATTTATCCCAAATAAGTTAATGCAATTTCATGTAAATAGTTTCTTTGCAAAGTTTGCTATCTGCATACATTTTTAGTGAGGGACAGTTAATACAACTTCACAGTTAGCAGAAAATAAAGTTGCACGTTTAACCTTTACCACAAAATTGGTAAGGCCTATGTAACTTTGGGAAATGAGTGAATAATTATGCAATCACTGTAACTATTTTCTAAGAAATTCTGCTCATCTACTGTACACAGTAGACAGTGTGGAGTAAACCCACGAGGACTGAGGAAGAAAACAATAAACTGAAAACTCTTGAGGTTAGTCAAAAAGCATTTGCGTGTTTCCCATGGTCAAAGAATGTGTTTTAACTTTTTACCTCGCCCACTCAATTCCCTTTATAAAGAGCACACTGCTTAATTACAAAGAATTTATTTGCAAATGATAACTTGCTTGATTGTTACAACACTGTTGTTTGGTCATGTTCTAGTAATTGTTATAGGTAGTTTCTTTTAACATATAGAGTCAAGCCAGGTTTAAATCCACCTTGGTTTACTTGCCTATCTGGACATCCAGAAGGTTTAACCGGCATCAGTTCAAGGAAGTGCACATAATCCATTTGGGCTAATATACAGTTTCCTCCTAAATCTAAATTGATACAGGTTTGGTTCCCTACCCCCTGCCCCGCAAATGATTTGACAGACTTGTCATAGCAGTATTGAAATGTATTTAGAGATTAAAGATTATCTGGTAGATACAACATTAACAATTCTGTGCCAATGGAAACAGCATATAGAACTCTGCCTTTGATGAGCGAATACACCCGAGATGTAGCCATTGTGTTCGGAGTTAAATTTGGTTTGTGGTAGGGGTACAGCTGGCAGAAATGTTTGTTATGTAATGATACACCTGCCTAGACAGTGAGAGTGGCATATCTTTTCTTCCCCTAAAACTGAGAGAAAAGAGCTGGTAAAGTTTTGCCTCTCCCAAGTGGCATGTCTTTTCGCAGTGGGAACATACGGTGCCTTCCATTCCTCTCGTGGCTGTCTCTTCTCACAAAGGCTGACTGCTCGCCTGAACTAGGGAGGTTTCCTGCCTACAAGCCAGTCTTTGAGGTTTTTCTTCTTTCCTTTCATGTGTATGGCGTTCTTCCAGGCTTACAGTGTTGGGTCAGTGCTGGCCCTGTCTGTTCAGTTTGGGAATGTCCTCTTAGGCAGTAGCCATACACATGTCTCTGGTTGCACCAGCTCTCCATTCCTAAGGGCCGGTGGTGACACAGTGCAGGAGCAGAGCATAGAGCAGGGCTGTCTTGCCTGGTTTGGGGCTTTTCCTGACTTTTCTGGATTGCCATAAATCAGGGATGATGCCTTATGATGGAAAACATCTTCTAACTTTTTATCTAATTAGTCCATGAGTTCCTGAAAAGGCAGGTGCATTCATTTTAGTAATGCATAGAGCAGGATGGTAGTCTTTTAACATTTAGCCCTACTAATACTTATCTTTTAAAGATGTTTCCTGCCGATCTCAGCTGCTTTTCTCAGTTCTTGGAAAAACCATTATTGTGTGTGTGTGTGTGTATCTGTGTGTGTGAGTGTTCATACACTGAAGAGTTGATGCTTCAAAGCTGACGATTGGGAGAGGAAGCAGGGAAGGGTAGGTGCGACCCTGTTCTGAAAGTTGTGACGAAAGGTAGCTTTGGGAGAGTCACTTCTCTTTTAAGTGAGCATAATATTACTTGGTTCCAAAGAGGGTGTTGGCAGAGTTAATTAGTTGGTAAGGCAAAGAAGTGCTCTGAAAGCCGTGAGAGTTAGGGGCAGCATGGGTAGATGGTGCATGTATGACCTGAGTTCAAGTTGTGGGTGCTGCTGAGGATGCTGAGGGTGTTAGGGGGAAGCAGATACAGATCTCGAGTGGCAGACCACTGCCCTAGATCAGCCTGAGTAACATTTCTCGAGAACCAAAAATATCTGTGAACCTGTAATGTCATTTCTCTGACATCATGAGGTGACTAAGTGTCTGGATATCAGGATGGGTCTGGTATCAGTAACATCTTAATCCTACCAGCTGTACTCTCTGGGTTGGATTATTTCCTTCTGCCCTGCTCTTGGCCATCCTGGGCACTAAGTGTTTGTAATGTTGCATGCTTCTTAATATTGTTCTTTAATTTCAAGCCTCCTTGGTGTGGAAAATGCCCAGGATTTTCTTTTTTTTTTTTTTTCAACTGTGAGTATAGTAGGATTTTGATTGATTGGTGTGTGTATATAATGTCCTCTAATGTGTGTGATAAATCCTCTAGAAAGTGATTTGGCAAACTTTTTCTATGAAGTTCCAGATAGTAAATAATTTCAGCTCTGTGGACCATATGATTTCTGACACAAGTACTCACCTCTGCCATTGTAGTGCAAAAGCAGCTTTAGCGACTACATAAACGAATGGTTGTGGCTGTGTTTCAATTAAACTTTATTTACCAAAGCAGGTAGTGGGTCAGACTGGGCATACAGGTGATTGTCTGCCAACTCTTGCTCTGTCTCAGGGATTTTTGACTGGCGTGTTGCAAGAATTTTTAAAATGTTCAGTCCCTGACTATTTAGTCAAGGGCATGGGCCTCTTTTCCCTCAGACTGTCATATAAAAAGAAAAGGACAACAGCCAACACAATAATAGCCATCCAGTGTGAAGGAATCAAAATTATACCTATTTTTGTCAGATCAGCAAAAAAGTAATATATTTTTAGTGTGCTGCAGAACTTTAGTAATTAGTGTATGTGTGCCATGAGATGAAAAAGGTTGACAATCACTACTCTAGATTTCAATCACTACTCTAGATTTCTTATTTTGTCAAATGTTAACAGAGAAGGGTGTTAGAAGGCTTTCCTGAGCAGAGAAAAAAAAAGACAGTTAATGCCATTGTTTTAGCTTCCTCTCCCACAAAATTATAATTCTCCAAGTAGTGATTGTCATAGAAATAGTGTACATCTGTTTATTACTGTAATGGTTTGAAGTTGAGAACTTTGTACTATTGATTCCTATTAAGGAATTTCACTCCTTTCTCTGAAGGTCATTCTGGTAGAGCAGCCATTTTGAGCAAGGACAAGCACTGGGGTAACTGGCTGGGTCTTTATTCAGCATAGCATAGTGATTAAGGGTGTGGGCTTTGGTGTCAGTCTGTCTGGGTTTAAACCCCAACTCTACTTACTAGCTGGTAGGCAAGTTACCTAACTTCTCTTTGCCTCAGTTTGCTCATCTGTTAAAATGAGAATAGTAGCATCTTCTTCATCAGTTGCTGCAAAGATGTTAAATGATGTAATGCATGTAGAATGCATAGCTCAGTGAGTGTCATGTAGTAGGTGCTCATTAAGTGCTAGCTTTTATTACAGCAATTTCCTTCAGTGTCGGAAGTTTGTTGTAAGTTTTGCTTATAGTATGCTTCCAGGAAATAGATACCATCTAGATTCTTTTCTCTGGTGGATTATATTTTTCCTTGCAGATGGCTTTACTAATTTCTGCTCATTAGTAAATGACACTAATAAGTGTTACAAACTGTGTCTTGAGCAGGTATTCATGCTGCCTGGGGACAGCTGTGCAGAACTGGTGATAAACACGCTTTGTTTGCAGCGCAGTCCAAGAGAGGATGCCGTGGCCCTAGTGCCCCCTCTGAGGCCCTGCTTATCGACACATCTGCCAAAGCTTGCTTTTCACTCAAAAATCAGAAAGGTTTTATCCTTCTATGTTTTCTGTCTCTGGCAGCTGAACCGGTGCTGTCACATCACAAACAACTTCTCTACTTAATATACACATCTGGCGTTGGCAGTTGGACTAACTTCATAAGAACACATGATCATCACTCATTACAAGATTAAAAAGTACCCCATGGCATCATTGATGTTTTTTAACTTTGATCTTTTTCAGTTGTGATTCATCTCAGTTATAAAACTTCCCTTTAAAGGAACATAGCCGATGACTTATTAGAACCTTCATCTTAAGTAGCGTAAACATGAGAACGGTGCACATCTTTACAAAATGCCATTTATTTTCTTTGCCAGCTTATCATTTTAAGACATGACATCATACTTAAGATCCCAAATTTGTAAGTCTTGTGTTTAGGCAGGGTGTTTTGACCTTCTGTTGGCAAGTTAGCTCTGAGGAGCAACTGCCTGTGTTCGCCAGCCGGAGAAGTAGCAGCAGCAGCAACAGTAATGTATTTGGATACCTAACTCTTTTAAACATCAGTTTCTATTAGGATCCCTTGTTCCACGTATGCACTTGGTTCCAACTGCAGTCTGATTTAAAGAATTTTTACAAGAAGGTGAGTGCTTGGTTAGCAATGTCATGTTCTGTGGTAGTGGTCCTGGCTTAGGGAAGGACTGATGGTCAAGGGTTTGTTGAATGCACAGAGGATGGTAGAAGTAAGCCACCTTACATAGTCAGAACCCTTTTGTCTTGCCATTTTTTTAGTTGTCTATTGCAAAGTAACAAAGCATCCCAAGACATAATGGCTTAAAACAACAGCGAGTTTATTATTTCTCTCAGTTCTGTGGATTGACTGGAGTTCATCCGATGGGTGTTCTGTGGTCTTGCTTGGGGTCTTTCATGTGGCTGCAGTAAGTTGGTGGCTGGTGCTGGAACATTCACAACGGCTCCAGTCATGTGCCCAGTGTCTTGGTGGGGTGACTGCAAGACTTAGGCTGGAATGGTGGCACAGTGGGGCCATTCTCTTTTTCCATGTAGTCCTAAAGCCTTTCCCTCTCCTCATGGCCTCTTCATGTGGTCTCTCCATGAGGTCTCTCCAGCAGCATCTGACTTCCTACATGGCAGCTCTGGGCTCCATAAGGTGCAAACGTGGGAGCTCTCAGGCCTTCCCTAGCCTTCTTATGGCTCAGAACTGTGGTGGAGTTACTTCTTTCCTATGCTGGTCAAAGCAAGATACAGGTGTAGCCTAGATTCCAGGGAAAGACACCCCAC